CTGCCTGGGGCTGGGCCCGCCACAGGGCTGTCCAGCCAGCATGGCTGCAGCCAGTTCTGAGGGAAGGACTATTTTTGGGGCTGTAACAGGGTCAAACTGGGTGCGTGCTGGCGCGTTTGAGCCGCTCGCAGTTGGGAGGGTTTTTTTCCCCCCACACCCTGAACTGGAGCAACTTGTAAACGTAGACCAGTCCTGAGCGACGCAAGACGCTGCTCAGCAGAGCAACACAGAGTGTGCTGAAGTCAGCAAGGTCCCACCAGCCTCCCCGGGCAGAACCTGCCTCCCACCTCCTTCCAGCACTGCTCGTCGAGAAAAAAATGTCACAGACTGAACAGATTATATTTTCGAGTGTTGTCAAGGGAACGTGACAGTCACTGCAAGACGCGCCCGCAGGCACACTCACAGCTACATACGTATTCGCCCACTGCACTGACCTCCTCTGAAAGCCGTCTGTGCGACACACGGCCGGCACAGCCGGGGAGAGCAGCCCGCCCAGGGCTCGAGGTCCCGATCCTCCAGCCCAAGAGCCTTGTTTTGCCACCTCGGAGCTGGTCCAACTCCTCCCCTCGCTCATCTTCAATGCAAACCTGCTTCCGCCAACCTCACAGCAATTCTCTTTGTTTTTTAGCGCTGAGATGGAGCTCAATTAAACTTAAACAATTAGACTCTGAACACAAGAAATGTCTCATAAAAACCACCACCGCCACAAACAGCATTTCACGGAGCAATTATGCCAGTGGCTGAGACCTTTATGATGCCTTTGTATGTCAGCTTGCACATGGGCCCTTTGTCCAGGCCTGGGACTCCTGGCTGCTCCCTCAATTCAAACAGAAAATACCCAGAACGCTGAGTAAGGGGAGCAATTCAAGGAGGAAAGAGAGGAACGCAAGTGCTGAGGCTGGAGGGGGGAGAAGAGAGCACCACACCTCTCCTCCCACAGTATTTGAAATGAAACAGCTACTTCGGGCTTGATTTTTTTATGTTATAAATGCATTGCAGCTGAAGTCATCTGGAAACCAACAATGAAAACACCAAGCATTGGAGAAATAAAAAGTTTGCAACCAGTTCTGGCCCTAAAAACCCCAGCTCTGCTCCAAGGCGGCCGGCAGCACCGCGGCCGGATCCCCTTCTGCGCCAGCCACCGGGATGCCAAGGCCGGTAAAAAAGATGCTGGTTCGTCTGTGTGCTGGTTTTTCACCTGCCCACCGCGCGCAGACTGGGAGCCGAGTCAGGCTGAGCTCCTCCAGGTCTCTGCGGGACGACGGTGGCACTTCTGCCGAGAACACACACGTGCCAGGACAGCACGGGACAGGCTGCGGCAGCGGGAAAGCATTTCGGCCGAAGCTCTGCCGTTGTGCCACCCATTTTCCTGGGGCGAGCCGCGCCGCTTCTCCGGGCTGGCTCTGGGACTTGGGCTGTTTTCCTGGTTTGAGGCAGGTCCTTTGGGCTCGGGCTGTCCTGCAGTCTGCGCGCTCACGGCAGAGGCACCGCCACGCTCTCCTGCCGCAGCAAAGCTTTAACCTGCTGCCCTCTGCTCCTCACTCCCACCTTTGCAACGTGCCCAATATCCTGCCCAGGGTGAATTTCGGCGCACTGGGCAAGAGATGCCCAACTGTTCAGAGCAAGAAAAAGACCTAGCACCTAACTGCAGAGTTACTTGCTCAGGAAACAGGCTGCAGCTTGTGCAGAGACTTGCAGGATGGCTCTGCGTCGAGTCCCGGCGCTGGCCAAAAAGTATCGACCACAGGATTAAACAACTCTGACTCCCTCTCTTTTTTTCCTTTTACACTGAAAAGGTTTATGATTTGCTGCTGCTTCATTCCTTTTATGGTCCAGAAGGAGCATTCCTGGAGGGAATTTCAGCTTTGGGACATTCCCAGGAATCACATCCTCCCACAGCCAGGAGGGACGTTTGATTTAACGTGTTACTCCAATGCCTCCACGAAGCATTTCACAAACTGCTCAGGGCACCGACTTTCGCCGTGCAGATCCCGCAGCACCAGGCCACGCGTGCATCGCTGCTGGAGACTGCAGGGCTCAGCCCTGCCTCCACGCTCCGGCTTCCTCCGCTCGCAGGAGCACTGCTCCGGCGATGCTGCAGGCCCTTTACCTCCGGGGAAGCATCTCCCAGAAATTAAGGAAGAGACATGGAAGGGAGGAAATTCCAGCTGGGGCATCTTTGCTCTCTGACAGCGCAAGGGAGATCGTTTCAGACCCAACCTCTGCTCTCTTCACGTGCTCCTCTTGGCTGCCAGCCCCTACTTCACTGCTGAGCACGGACCAGAACTGACCTACCTCCACAACATCCTCTGGGCTGGACCCTGACCTCTCCACTGCCCGCAAAGCGCCACACCTTTTGCTCCCATTAGATTTGGGTCCTGGCAGTGGAAAGGGCAAGGCTGCCTGCTGCCAGGCTTGTACGGAGCCTCCAGACCACTGGGGCTCAGCCTGTGCTGGGTGGGCTCTTTAGCAATAAATTTGCCATCACAGCTAATTCATTTAAGGCACAGAAAATGAGGCACGTGCGCCCTCAGCCAGCTGGGGCCACGCTAGCATCCCAGGATCTCCGCGTACGGCTAGTGCAAAAAAAAAAACAAAAGGAGAAATAAAGGCTTCTCACCCGCTTCGTTTCAGGCACCAGGTCGTCCTTCATCCTCCGCTTGGTCCAATCCTTGGCGAGCTCATCCTCCGCTATCTCCTGAAGGTGGAAGACGGCTACTTGGGCTGACGTCCGACGGATGCGGCCGCTCGGGGTCCTTTCGAAATCTTCTATGGGGCCAGGCTCCGGCTTCACCTCTGGCTCCTCCGGAGGCTGCAACAGAGACAGAGTGAGGAAGGGCATGACAAAGGGAGAAGAGGCGAGCTCTCCGGCTCCGGGACGGGGATGCTGGGGTTCGGGCTGTGCATTTGCAGACCTGCTTTGTGCGGGCGGGGGCTGCAGAGACACCAGCGTGCCTCTGCACCCGAGCACGGGAACAAGGGGAGCACCCCCCCCTCCCTCAGCCCAGCAGACAGCCATGCGTTAGACTGATCGCGTCCTTTCGCACTCCCACGTGTATAAACGTCTCCATTTATTAGAGTTAGGGAGTTATTAGCGTCGGATGCACTGTCAGTAGGGATCAACAGAACAGAAAAGGATGCTCCCCAGGGACGGATCCTGCTCCCCCAGCGCTGGCAAGCAGCCGGTGCTTGCTTGCTGCCGAGGGAGCGGCCCGAGCTCTGTTTTTTTTCCCTGCAGAGCACGGATGCAGGGTGCGCTGGAGCACAGCCCCGCGGGCACCAGGGAAGGGGAACGCTCCTGACCGCTCCGCTCCCGCAAACGCAGCATCCTGTTTTTTCGGAGGGGCGGAGGGGGCTGTAGCCCGTTCCCCACCGACACCGCATGGTGCAATACACGCGCGTGGTGATGTGAGGGAGAAAACAACATCGGTCCGACGTCTGCACCTGCCTTGCCCGGCCCGGCCCTGCCCGGCTCTGTCCTGCCCACAGGCTCTGCAGCTCTGCAGTCACCCCCAGGGGGGGATGGCCCCGCTCCTCGGGCTGCGGAGGCGTCCGGGGGGCTCACCGAGGCCGTGTGTTCTGACCGCACATGGTAGTCGTGGCCGGCCTTGGATTTGTACTTCTTGCCGCAGTGTGGACAGCTGAAGACAGGCTTGTCGGCCTCGGCAAGCTGCTTCCCACAGCGCTTCTGGTGGTACTGGTAACCCATCAGGCTAGAGAAGTTGGCCATGCAGCCCTATGGAGACGGGGAGAAGGGGAAGGTTAAGGAGGGCTGGGGCTTCACGTGCCCATGTCGAAACGGTCGGGGTGCCGCTGCTCCAGGGAGGAACATGTCCCGAGGAGCCCCCTCCGCAGAGCAGCTCCGCCAACCCGTCCCCTCCGAGCGATGGGGGATCGCTGGCCGGCCCCTCTCCCCCAAAGAGTCACCCACAGGCACGACAGTGCCACGGAGGGACACAGGGAGCAGTCCCTGTCCCCGGCGCCCCCTGCCCCGACACACCGACAGGGCTCTCCGGACAGACGCACGGTGGGCAGCGGGAGGGGAAGGCGCTGGGGAGGCACTGCATCCACGGGGACAAACCTCTGCCACACGCCCCCGTTACCTGTTCGTGACTTGTCTGCAACCGGCTCGCGACCATTTTTTGGTGCGGTTCGGTTTAGTTTTACGCTGTGCCCAGGACAGCGCCGGCTGTGCCTCCTCCTGAGTTCAGGAGGCAGAACCTGCCCTTCAGCGCTCCTCAACCTGCCCTACGCCCACCCTCCTGCCCGGACGGCCCATCGCCGGAGCGCACGGAGCCAGCGAGACGGCGACCGGGATGGCTGAGCTAAGGCGGAAAAGTCGAGCGCGTGCCAAGGGATGCCTGGAGAGTGCACGTCCCCCTCTGCGTCGGAACTCACTCCTTCCAGCTTTTCACAGAACGAGAAACAGGAATCGTTCTCGTACCTCATTGGGGCATTTCAGTTTTCCCATCTGCTTTAGCACTTTCCTCACCCTTTCCCGCTATT